GCTTATTCTACTGAGCCATCTCCCCGGCCCCTAGTCTTATTCTATTTAGAATGTCCTAAAATGTTTTTTACTGAGTACCTTAACAACAATAGACATTTATTGCTCTTGATTCCAGAATCTGAAAGGTCAAGAATGGGGTCAAAAGAGCCAGTGTTTGCTAAGGACCCATTCCTCAAAAATGGAATCCTTCTGTGTGTCCTTCCTTGGTGGAAAAGGCACTCAAGCTCCCTGAGGTTGAAGGGTGTTGATCCTATACAGAAGGCTGTTGGACCAGTCACCTTCTAAAGTCCCCACCTCTTAGTGTTGCCTTAGAGATTAGGCTTAACACAGGGATTGGGGTGGGGGTGAAATTGCAGGGTGTAGTAGCACACAACTGTGATCCAGCGCTGGCAGGCTGAGGCCAGAGGAGTGCAGGTACTCAAAACAAAGATAAGTGGAGAAAGGAAAGGAAAGAAAAGGAATGGAGTTAAGAAATTGACTCAAAACAACTAATCAGCAGTGAATGGTCTTGAGGCATGAGATATCTTACTGGTAAAGCCAGATGTGTTATTTTCTTTATTTTTATGTAGTTATCTTTTCAGTAGTAGAGATCAAACCCAGGGCAGGATAGATAGGCAAGTGATTTACCACTGAGCCACATACCCAGTCATTAATTTAGTTTTCATGTAGCACTGATGCATAATCTTTGCTGCTCTGGCCTCTTACCTTCTAGTTCTTGTACCTTCAGGGATATTTCACCATAAAAATCACAAATAGCAAAGCTACACCTACCATCTCATCCTGTGCTTCTTTTTCTTTTCATGGTACTGAGGATTGTATTAGTACCTTCAAATTGAGCCAAATCTCCAGACTTCTAAATTTTTTTATTTGGAGACAGGGCTAAGTTGCCTAGGCTGGGTCAAACTCAAGATCTTCCTACCAGCTACCCAAAGTGCTAGGATTACAGGCATGCACCACTGCACCGAACTTGATCCTGTACTTTTGTCGTTTTTTTAAGATTGATACTCTTTTTTTTTTTTTGTTGGTGGAAC